TTATTTTCGCAATAGATTCTAGATGTCTCTTTCAGTCCATAATTGAATGAATTCAAACTCAAGTTACCTCTAGTGAAGGTACTTGTGTATCTTAGCACGACGACCGAGTATTCGCCGTGTAATATTGAGTATTTTGTGAGTACTCTTGTCCCGTTTCTGCATACTCTGTTGGTCTATGTAGAATATTCGTAAGCATATTTTTTGGTGAGTACCGTTATACTACATCAGTTTTTACGTAATATTAAAATATCAACAAAAAATACAGGCATATACATACTGAAATTTTTTTGTCTTTTTTGATTTATTATCGAAGGTATGCTTTATATGCAAATACATTCTATCAAGTGATTATAAAAAAAAGATTTTTACTTTTTTTTTATCAATGATATATTAAAGAAACAAATTTTAGATATAGCACAACTATTTAATGAATTGTAGTGATAGATCATACCAGAAGAATATAATCGTAGACAAATAATAGAAATATACATGACTAGTAAAATACATCGATGTTTAAAAATTGTTTCAATTATGATTTCATTGAGTGTCATTTTTCGATTTTTTATTCATTTTCGTAATGAAAAATCTAAAATCTCTGCCACTACTGTCTTCTCAAAGAATCATATTCGAGGAGTAATTGTAACTTTAATTCGTAGTACAAATCAATCCATATATCTCACAATTAATATGATATACTCTGTTATTCATTTTTATCCAACTACTGTTCGTTATAGATATCCATTTACCATATTTCATGATGAAAATTTTACTTCAGTCATGCGTCAACAAATAGTATCATGTATTCTCAAAAACAACAAACAAATACAAATTTCATTTGCACTTGTTAATTTTCAAACATCAATACAACCATCTAATACATCACGATTAGAAAAAACCAATTGGATATCGTTTAATGCGTCGATTTTGAATATATAATGTTTTTTATCATCCAGCAATTATTGAAGGTCATTATGATTATGTAATGAGAATGGATGATAATTCATATTTTATGGATACAATCGGAAAAAATCTTTTTCTTTATATGGATAGTCAAAAATTATAATTATATTTATCGATCTATATATGGTGAACCGATCACACCAATGAATCCTATCTTACAACGTTTTCTCAATAAAAATAATCTTAAACTTAGTTGTATTTATAATAATTTCTTTGTTATTCGCTTGAAATGGTATTATGAATCAAAACAAGTTAAAAGTTTTGTTCATGAATTAATTCAAGATAATTTCATGCTTCGAGAATATATTGGTGATGGATGTGCTCATTCAGCAATGCTTGAAATTGATAATCAAGGTACAGTAGCATGTCTAGGCATGCATCAAACCCAAACCGTTTGGGTTTGGTGAGTTTGGGTATTGAGTTTTGGTTTGGGTTTGGGTTTGGGTTTGGGTAGGGTTTAGGTATGAGTTTGGGTTTAAATTTGATTATGGTCCATATATCTAAGCTTTTGATATACGACTGTTGATCAAACTCAAACTCATACCCAAACCCAAATTCAAACCCAAACTCAAACCCAAACCCAAACTCAAACTCAAACTCAATACAAAGCACCAAAACGAAAACTATTTAGGGCTAGTGCATGTCTAGTTGCGACATCAGACCCAAACACATAGCCAAACCCAAACTCGATACACAAACCCAAACCCAAACTCCCAAGCAGTTTGGGTTTGGGTTTGGTGCATGCCTAAGCATGTCTGATGAATATTCCCTATGGTCATAATTTTCATCTGATGTTAAGAGGTTCTGCATATTATATGTTCTATTTTGTTGATGGATTTTGGGAAGAAATGTTCAATTCTTGTCAGCAATTGACTGTTATTGATGGAAAATTTCGTCAATCTAAACTAATAAGAATACCTGTATGAAGAATCAATTCAAAATAGAAAATCTTCTAAGTTTCGCAATACTTTATATTTATATTACAATGATATTTTTGTATTATATCTATTGATGTTAAACAAAGAAATCGAGAAATTTAATCGAAGTGAAAAAAAAATCTTTTTTTTTTGAAACAACAAAATTAAAACAGTCATGTTCAATCCTTTAGATGATTTGATAACAAGATATCTTCAGGGTTTTTACAACCAAATGAAAAGTACAAGATATTCGAAAAGTTATCTACTGAAAAGTATTTTGAATAACTCAACTATGTTGTTATCAAATTAGTTTCTTGTGATCGAAGACAGTTTCAAGTTTGTATTGTTATGAGTAGGAGTCAACAAGCTCAGCTCACGCTCAAAAATGATGAGCTGTTGAAAAAGCTCA